GGACCGAGTTTACCCCCAAGGAAGCATCGTGAGCCGGGTGGCAATAAATAAAAACGCATGCCAGGGCGGGCAGCGAGGTGCTTAGAAGGCCAGTTCGTCTGGGGTCAGAGTCCGTGCCCTCCCGGCCGGGCTGCGCCGCTCGCTGTGGTGTGAAGCCAGGCCGGTCCAGCGCCGGCCTTCCGTGCTGGGAAGGCCGTCAGGGGATGGAATGGCGACGGGAGACTCGAGGCCCCGTGCCGAGGATTCACAGCTGGTTCCCCAGGCTCCTCAGAACCCAGTCTCAAAGGGGCGCCCTTGAGAGCGACGCGCCCGCGGCCTCTCCTCAGGTGCCCTGGCGGCGGACTGGCGCGCCTGCGCGCGCCTCCACCCTCGCCCCGCCCCCTCGGTTTCCCGCCTTTTCCCCCTCGGCAAGCACAGCGCCCCCCTCCGACGGGGCTGAGGCTCGGAGCAAGTGCGCAGGCGCCACATACCCTCCTTTTTCCTCACCCCCCACCCCGCCGCCCTTGGGGGGTGAGGGGCGGAGGAACCTCCAAGATAGAGGAGCTTTAGAAGAATTAGATGGCAAAGGGAGGGGGGAAAGGCGAGCTTTCTGTTCCCTCCAGGGCTGGTGCCCCGCCCCGACTTTGAATCGCCCCACGATCTCCCTTCTCGCCCCCGGGCGGATTCCCAGCAGCGCTCGGCGCTCTCCCTCCGGCGGGCGGGCTGGGCTGCGCTCTGAGGGGATTCCTACGTGCAAAGGTGAGTGGGCGGGCGGAGCGGAGCGCCAGCGAGCGAGAAGACCGGGGCTTGCCGACCGAGGTGACCCCAGCGGGAATCCCCACTAGCTTTCCGCCGTCTCCAGGGTGGCCTTTGTTTTGGCCGCTGGCCCTTTAAGGCGCTCAAGGGGGCGGGGTTAAACCTTGGGCTCTAGAGGTTGTGGGCGGGTCCGGCGGTGGAGTGAGACCGGGAATGCTCGGTAGGCGGGACTTGGAGAGGAGCAAGCCCCGGGATTGGGTGATGTGGGAGCCCGGCGGCAGTGTGCAGTTAGGATTGGTCCTCGGGGCGGGGCCTGGAGGCTGAAATTGGCTCCTGCGCTGGGACGGCGGGGACCCGGGAGAATTGATGGAGTCGGCTTCGGGAGCGGGGCCCGCTGGGGCCACTGAGGCCCTGGCCTCGAAGAAGACCAAGGAAAGAGCTAGAATCCGCATCCGCCGACGGTGGCGCAAAGTTAAGGCCAAAGGTGAGCGCACGCGCGCGGGGCTCGGCTGCGTTCAGAAGGAGCCTTGGACATCTAGAGGGACACAGGGCTGAGTGCATCAGACTGACCGCCCGGAGAAAGGGGGCGGGAACGCGTGGGCTTGCCCAATGCCGCCCTAGGGAGGCAGTGATCCGTTGCGAGGGGGCAGATCTGAGAGCAGAATACTGTCCCCAGACGTAGAGCTTACTGGACACCCCAGTACCATCTTGCGGGGAAAGCCCCCTCTGACCCAGCGACCGTGCGATGCTACAGCGCTGCGTGTTGACATTCTCTCGGACTCTCTTAAGAATGAGCGCTAGTGACGCGGCGGGCTAGGCGTTCAGCTGTCAACCACAGGGTCAGCCGTTCAAACCCACCAGCTGCTGCACTAAAGAAAGAGGAGGCTGCCTGCCCCTACGGAGGTTTACAGCCTCACTAGGGTCACGATGAATCAAAATTGACTCGACTGTTCTAGGTTTGGTTTGACACTCAGGAGACAATGACCGGTTGTAGCAGCTGTTGGCCCAAGAGGAAGTTTTGGGTGAGTCAGGGCAAGGGAAAAGGAAGAGGAAGGAATTCCCCATAGTAGGGAATGAGGTGGGCCGTTCAACTCACCGCAGCTTTAGCTTTCTATCAGTCAGTCCGTCCGTCACCCGTTGTGATCAAGGTCCAGTGCCTGACATGATAAGGGGGCCTGAGTTGCCCTGGTATCTGAACCTCCAGTCCAGGAAGAGGAAGCGAGGGCTGTCATCTAGGCTTCTCTAGGGTGTCACATTATGTACAGATCTCCGTGTGAGATGCCACAAGACAGCCGCAGGCAGGGGCAGGCACACGGGGTATGTATAGGTGTGGGTGTGATTGGGGCGATAGGGAGCTGTGGGAAGTTCCTGTGCAGAAGGAACAGGGCACTGAGCTGGCCCCGTCCCAGGAACCCCAAACTCACTGCTCCCCCTGCCTCAGGCCGTGTTATTAACCAAAGGTACAGCTGGAGTTGGCTGCAAACACACAGGCATTCAGACAGCTCTGTCCGACGGGCCCGAAGGCATTCGTTGTCACCCAGCAAGACAGGGAGCCTCGGGGGCAGGACAGCCTGCTGGAAGGCAGCAGAGCCATGGTTAAGAACTTGGACACCTGATTCCTACCTAATTCCTCAGGCTATAAGCTGTGAGCCATGGCATCTGGAGCAATGGGCTCCCTCTTTCCCTGCTTCAGCTTTCTGGGCAATGAAGTGGACATAGTGACAGGGGAGCCTGCCCTCTGGGAGGTTTAAGTAAGCATGGAGGCACTGGCCCCCAAAACTCTCAGGAGAGGCAGAGCTGGATCATGAATTCCCAAAGAGCAGGCTGTGTCTGCCTTGTTTACCAGGGATTTGCAGGGTCTGGTATGCTAGTCACAAGGGCAATCAAATGTTTACTGAATTCATAAATGAAGGGCTGAATGAACTATAACACAGGGAAGGCCATCATTGCTCAGCCTTCTGGCAGTGGGGAGGTGTCAGGGCGGGCTCCCACAAACCCACCCACTCAGGCTCATTCCCCCAAGCTCCAAGGCCACTTGTCATTTCCTGAGGTTCCCCCTGGCACCAAGTGCTGATTGGGTGAATCAGAGCCCCGCCCCTGCCCCAGGACATCCAGACCAACCCTGTCATCACTCTGATCTTAGTAATAACCTTGCCAGTAACCAGCAAGTGTCATGAGGATCACCCTGTTTCCCAGGCGACAACACTGAGGCCAGCCAGGGCAGAGGGAGAGCTGCCCACAACCCCCTCAGGCCAAAGCGTGAGTGAGCTCATGACTCTCTGTGCCACAACCTTGGGCCCAGAACTGAACACCTACTGGTGCCAGGCTGGGGCTCCAGGCAGCCAGGGAGACCAACACACACAGTCGAGCTGAGTATGCAGACAGTCCTCAATGACCCCACAAATTGGACTGCCATTGTACACAGTGATGCATGCAACAGAGGAGAAACCCTGAGTAATGGAGGAGAGAGACTTCCCAAGGATGGACGGGCAGGAACTGCTGGGCGGGTGGACCAGTGGGGCAGAGAGGGCCCCTCAGGGAGGAAGCAGGCAGTGGGGCCCAGAGGGTGCCTGGCTTGAGAGACCATGTCCAAGGTGGGAGGCTTGACCCAGAGAGGAGCGGAGCAAGACATGGGAAGACCTGAGGGGGTGATGAGATTTGTGTTTTTGAAAGATCCACTGCTGCTGTGTGGGGAACAGAGGGAAGGGGCCGAAATCAGGGGCGCAGAGAGAGAGTTGTTTTAACCGGAATCCAAGAAGGGGCAAGTGGAGGTGGGACCAAGGACCAAATGCCAAGGACCCCAAGGGACCTGCGTGAAGAGGATGGGGTGAGGGGCTGGATGTGGCGAGGAAGGAACTGGTGGCCAGGAGAGCAAACTGAGTCCTGCCTGGGGAGTCGGGGGAAGGTGTGTGTGGTGTGCATACACACTCCCACGCAAAGGCCAGGACACACACGACCCTGTGTACACACCCATGCATATCCAAATATGGATGCACACAAACTGAACCCAACACACAAACCCACTGCCACCCAGGCCGTTCTGACACTTAGTAGCCCTGCAAGACAGAGTAGATCCGCTCCAGAGTTTTCTGAGACTGTCCATCTTCCTTGGAGCAGACAGTTCCATCTTTCTCCCATGGAGCCGCTGGTTGGCTCCCACTGCCAATTGTGAGGTTGGCAGCCCAGCGCTTCACCCACAGTGCCACCAGGGCGCCTCACTCACTCAACCCACAGAGGGAAATAGAGGCACACAGACAGACACACAGAATAAGCTGAGACAGGCCATAACACATGCATGCAAACACGGATTCCTCAGACACATAAAGACACACGAACCCACAGGCAGAAGGGAAACAAAATAGCCACCCGGGCCAGACACACACCGGCCATGATGTGGACCTACATGCATGGGTGCTTGCTCGAGTGGACTCCAGAGGCACTCGCGTGTGACCAGCCGAGACACCAAGACAGACAGCTGACAAACACAGACTCGGATGAGGGTCAGAAGGCTCCGTGCCCCCGAGCAGTCAAGACATCGCTCTGTGCCTCGGTTTCCCCATCTGTCAGAACAGCAAGGTCAAGGGCTGTGGTGAAGATGGTTGTCGAGAGTGGCCACATCGTAGAAAGCACACAGAGAGGACAGTACCGGCCACGTGCTGGTCGCCGTGGTCATGTTTGCTGTCTAATGCAAACACGGCAGCCACAAAGACACAGGAGAGAGTTCCACATTCACTGGGCCCCGCCAACATCTAGCACAGGCATCCCTTTCAAAAGCCCAAGCCTGGCCCTTCTTCCATCGATTTCCCTCCTTCCTCAGCAACCTTCCTCACCTCTGCTCAATCCTCAAGGGCCAAAGCTGGTGCCCCTGCAAGTGGGAAGCCCCCAGCCCAGCTCCCTCAGCTCAGGCCTTACCTCTCCCCCAGTCCTCAGCCCGCACCCCAGAGAGCCTGCCTCTATCCCAGTGCCCTCTGCCTGGGATTCCGGGCGAGCTTCTGGCAAGTTCAGCTTCCTTTCCTCCCAGCCCCACCCAGCGCAGCACCCCAGGGAACGGCCTGGAGCAAGGCAAAGAACCTAGTCTAATCAGGATGGCGGCCCCACGGATGCACCATGAGACTAGGAGTCTATGGTCCATGAGACCGCGCATCTATGGAGGAGGGCCCGTCGGACATGCAGCGCACACTTGCCAGGCACCCGGCTGTGCCAGGTAGTGCTGGGGCCACGGCAGCAAATGACGCAAAATCGCTGCCCTCAGGGAGCCTGTCATTCTGGCCCAGAATGCCACAAAGCTAACCAGGCTCAGGAAATGCCTCTCACAGCACCTTCCTTCCTGGAAGAGTTCAGAGTGTTCCTGGGAAAATGGAACCGATAGAAAGGGGATGGGATTTTCCCACAGACTTTTTGAAGCCCCCTTTGCTGAGAGCACCTCTACCACCCTGATCTGGACAGAGTGCCAACTGCCGTTTCCAGATGGTGGAGACAAGCCTCACCCACAATCCACCAGCACATGGTGTGGGCTCTGTGTCCCAGTGTCGTGGCCAACTCACCTTGGAGCTGCCTCCCAAGGCCTGTCTGCCCCTGTCCACCTTCTGTCTGCCCTTCCATCCACCCCTCCAGCCCTGCCGTGGCTCCTCATACCTGCCTGCCTCAGGCAGGTTTGCTGAGTAGCTGCTGTGTGCTCAGCCCCTGGCGGGCCCTCGTAGGGATGGTCCCCCATGGAGACAGAGAACTCGCCCACAGCCACCCAGATAAGATGACCTCCTGCTTCCATAGTCCCTTCCAAGGCACTATACATGATTATTCATATCAAGTTGCTTTATTTTTGCAGTTTCACCAGCCTACAATTCACACACCTACATTTCCATAGTTCAATCACAATCATAACAGTTGAGCAACCATCGCCCCGGTCAATTCCTGGACATTTCTTCATCCTTGTACTCAGTGTGGTTCGCATATATGTCTATGTAGGCGTGTTGATTCCGTTGTCCGTGACAGTTGTTGACAATAGCATTTTGTAATCTGAAGCCCTCCGCTATTGATGAGAAAGGTTCACCCGGCTGGCCCACCCGCAGTTCTGCGGAGGAAAGGTGAGGCTGACTTCTCCCATCAAGATTTTCAGCCTGGGGAACCGTGTGGGGCACTTCTACTGGGTCCTAGGGTGTCCCTATGAGTGGAAGTCACCTGGCAAGGGTTGTTCCCCCCTAGAAGGAGCCCCACCCGCACACTGTGTAAGCTTCACAACGCCCTAGCACCTGGTTGTCCCTCTGGAAGCATGTAAACAAGTCAGTGTATCATTGTAAAATGTGTGAACTGCTAGGAAGGTCTAATGTCAGGGCAGGAAATAGCATCCCACCATCCCCGCACCCTCAGGGGACAGGAGCCTTATCTCAGGTGGGACAGAGCAGTTAGGGAATAAGCAACTCCTAGCTGAGGCCAGAAAGGAGCAGGCGGAGGAGGAGGAGATGGGGATGACAGTCACTACGACATGGATGGTGAAGGAACAACACACAGTAGGACCTGGGGTTCAGGCCCCCAGCCCTGATCCAGTCTGAGCCTGGCACCGCCCTTCGTCGGCTTTTGCCCTAGAAGGGACAAGCTGGGCTGGCTACCCACTTTTCCCTCCCCCAACAGCTGGGGCTGGCTGTGCCAGGGCCAGCCTGAGGGCGGGGGCAGAGATGTCAGGGCCTTTGGCTCCCTGAACCCCCTTGGGAGAGTGAGGGCAGCCTGGCTGCATGAGTGGCAACAGCTGGCTCTGGGCTGGGGCTGGGACCTTGGGCTGTGAGGGAGGAGGGGGCTTAAGGCCTTGACTCCAGGTGGCTGGGATCTGGACTCCAGGGGCCTGGAATGGAGGGGCAAAAGATCCTGAGGAAGATCTCCCATGCCCTGGAGCTGGGAGCAGGCAGAGGGGGCAGGGAGTTGGGCTCTGGGCTCTGTTGACTGCACGTGGTTCTCTCTGCCCTCTCTGGGTGGGAGGTGGAGAAGGGTGGCCACACCCAGGACAGACAAGGCCCCTCCCCGAGTCTTATCACCCCAGGCTGCTCCTGGCACTGACCGCAGTCCACAGTCTCAGAGAATTCGAAGAAGCCTGGGAGGGGTGAGTGCACAGCCAGCTGAGAGGGAAGAGGCCTGGGAGGGGTGAGAGGCAGGAATTGCCACCGCCAAGGCCAGCCTGGGGGAGAAAGGAGGAAGCCTGGGAAGTTGGGGGGAGGGAGGGCTCTCTGGGCAGTGGGCAGAATCTCCACCTAGAGGGCAAGGACAGCTTGTCCGGGATCTGAGTGACAGGTGGCTGCACAGGGTTCAGGGCCAGTTTTCCAAGTCAGAGCAGGCGGCTCAGTTCCTGGGGAGTGACGCGGGAAGGAGCGGCCCTGGGTTCCAGTGTGAGAGCAGCCTTCATCTCTGGACCGGAGCCTCAGTTTCCTCTCCTCCAACATGAGGATGCTAGCAATAGAAACCGGGATCTGAGCCCCAGCCGTTTGGGTCTCCAAGGGTTGGTGAGATCAAATGAGCGAGCACACAGACAGCTCTTGGCCCGGAGTAAGTTCAAGGTCAGCGCTGAGTACCAGGGAGCAGAGCTGGGCCGTGCAATCTCAGACAAGTGGACGGCCAGAGGCCAGGGGACCCATGGCTGGTGGGGGGCGAGGGGGAAGGTAGGATGAAGATTCTAGAACCCCAGTGGGGTGGGGGGGGAGTTTGGTGGGGCTCCACGGGACTGACAGCACTCACTCCTCGCTGATAATGGGCAGCCTATGATCACCAGAAAGGTGCACAGCTCGGAGCCCTTCCCCTGGGTCGATAGGTCAGAATGTACTAAGAAGCCGTGGGTTTGGCAGGGGTGGGGTCGAAGGGAGCCAGCCTTGAAGACCTGCGTCCTGGGAAGCCACCAGGTGGATGGGAATGGGTGAGCTGGGGCCTTAATTCTCCCAAATTTTAGTGGAGGCAGGTGAGTGGGTGATGGCTAGGGCCTCAGAAGGGGAAATGGGATGGGGGGGGGGGGGCAATGGACACTTGGATCGTGAGAGAGGAAACCAGCTTGGAGCCAGGTCCAAATGTCTCAGAGCCTTGGAGTCTGAATTCCTGGGCCCCAGAGAGTCCATGGGGACAGATGCCTGAGCTCCTGGGTCCCAGCAAGGAAGAAAGAGGGGCAGGCAGACTCCTGGGTCATCGCAGAGACCCAGGGGCCAAGAGAAGGCAAGTCGGGGACCAACTCTGTTCAGGGGAGACCGTAGACCAGGGAGAGCAGGAACTCCTGGGTCTTAAGTCTTCAGGAGAAAGGAGCCGAGCACTTGAACTTCTGGCTCCTGAGGAAGCAGAAGGGTCTGGGATCTAAGCTCATGGGTCATGAGGAAGCAAGGGGAGGGGGTCCTAAGGTCTCAGGTTTTGGAGACAGGCAGGTAACCTCCTGGGTTAGAGGGAAGAGGGCTCTGGAGCCTGGGACCCCTGGATTGGAGGAAGGAGCGGCTGAGGCTAGGACTCCTGAGTCTGAGGGAAGGGGAGCTGGGGGCCAGGGCTCCCGGGTCTTAAAAGGAAGCTCCTGGGCCCCCAGGCCCCAGCAGAATGATCCAGCCCTGCCTCACAGGCTTCCCCTTTTGCCCGCAGCCTCCAGGCTCACTCTCGGCATGGACTTGCACACCATGACCCAGGCGCTGGTGTCTCTGGCAGAAGACAACATAGCTTTCTTCGCCAGCCAGGGCCCTGGAGAGACAGTGCGGCGGCTGCTGGCCGTCTTTACAGGTGTCCGGGAGCAGGCACTGGGGGTCCTGCCGGCGCTGGGCCGCCTGCTGGGTGTGGCGCACCTCTTTGACCTGGACTCCGAGACGCCTGCCAACGGGTACCGCAGCCTGGTGCACACCACCCGCTGCTGCCTGGCCCACCTCCTCCACAAGTCACGCTATGTGGCCGCTAACCGCCGCAGCATCTTCTTCCGCGCCAGCCACAACCTGGCGGAACTGGAGGCCTACCTGGCTGCACTGACCCAGCTCCGCGCCCTGACCTACTACGCCCAACGCCTGCTGGCCGCCAACCAGCCGGGGGTGCTCTTCTTTGAGGGCGACGAGGGGCTGAGCGCCGACTTCCTGCGCGAGTACGTCACGCTGCACAAGGGCTGCTTCTACGGCCGCTGCCTGGGCTTTCAGGTGAGCCCCTGGGGCCCCAGACCTGGTCGGACACCTCAGAGTGGCCACAGTGATCAGGGTGACTGGAAGCCCCATACAGCAGGGGAAGCCGGGGCTCAGAACCATTGCACCTGGCTGAACACCTGCAAAAGCTTCAGCCTGTGCCAGGCAGAAACCTGTCAGAGAAGGGAAAATGCAGCTCTCTCCCCTGAACAGAGAGCCAGCCAAATGCAGCCAGAGGGCACCCCGCCAAAGACAGGAAAAATCTGGCTCTGTGGTGTACCATAGGGAGTTCTCTCTAAAGTCACCCTTTCTGGTCAGCCCTGGTTCTCACAGCTGTCAGACACCAACTTCACTCATTTTAGGGTACCTGCGTGGCCCCCGAAGTCATTTTGAGTTTGAGACCCCTAAAAGGATGGCCACTGTTAATCTCAAAGGTGGGGGCTCCGATGCTCTTTCCCCCTGGCATTCTGGAATGGAAGGACAATGCAAGCCCCACTTTGCAGGTTCAAGGGCGAGGGGCCCAGCCAGGATTCTGGGGCGCAGCTCTGCCTGAGCTGGCGGGCCTGAGGCAGAGGTAGCCATAGAGCATCGTCAAGGAGTCCATCACTGGGGGGAGGCCCCCTGACCCCTAGCCGCAGGCTTCCTCCCACCCTCCATTTACCCCAAGCACCCTCAGGTGCAGCTCCTCTCCACACTGAAGCTCGGGCCTGGGTGGGAAATGGGTCTAGGACTCCAGATGGGGCACAGGCTCAGAGCAGAGACCCAGTTTGCCCCTCAAAGTCCAAGCTGGGTCTGGCGGCCCACAGCAGACCCGGGAGCCCCAGCAGGAGTATCTGGCTAAGCCTCCACCTCTCCCCCACTCCATCCTCACCCCAGGGAAAGTTGAACTTGGCAGCCTCCCTGTACCCCCATCCTACCTACCTCTCCATACACCCTTTGGCCCTCCCCTCACCCAGACTGAACCCTCAAATGTTGATCAAGCCAGCATGCTGCTCCCTGTGTCCACCTGTGACCTAGGAGCCCTGAGAGGGCTGATCCCAGGGCACCTGAGCCATCCATGCAGCCACAGTGACCTGGCACCTCCACCACTCCCTGGCCTACTGGGGCCCCAGCCAGGAACAAGACTGCCCAGCACTGCTCCCAGGGCCCCTGGTGGTGTCCACCTCCGCTCTGTCAGCCCCCAGGAGAGCAGAGGCCTCCACCAGCCAGGTCCCAGCTTCCTGCCCTGTGCCCCTGCACCCAGTAGGACCCAGGCCAGTGTTTGCTGAATGAGCGGAAGGGCCCCCTGCTGGACCCTGGCCAGGGCTGATTCCTCAACTGCCCCGCCTCAGCCTCCGGTAGCTTTTAGATGTGATACCATCTCCCTACAGCCCTCCCCTCTTAGCCTCTTGGCTTGATTTCCCTTCTCACTCACATCAGCTACCTGCCCCACTCCCCAGGCCTCCCATTTGAAGACCGCCCAATCCCCATCTCTCTGACCATCTCCAGTTTGTCTTCCTGGCCCCCCACTGTCTGCCCCGTCCCAACTCAGGGGCTCTGTGCCCTCATCTTGTTCCCAGCTCACTACCCACCGGTGGCTCCAGCCTATACACGATAGGAGCCAGATTCTGCAGCTTTGAGCCCCACCTCTGCCCTCACCTCCCACCCCTCCCTGCTCGCTCGGCTCACCTGGCCCTCACCCAGCACAGCCGCCACCTAGGCACCTTCCTAAATGTCACCTCAAGCCCCCTCCTGGGAGCCCCAGCTCAGTAGCCTGACCTCTAGTCCTTACTGGATCCCCTCCATCTGCTGTCTGTCCTTCAGAGCACTCACCGACACCCGTGTGTGTGTGTGTGTGTGTGTGTGTGTGTGTGTGTGTGTG